CTGTTCCGAGGGGCAGCTCCACCCAGAGTCAACCCCAGCACGACCCTGGGATTCGGCCTTTCCTCCTCTAACCCCTCCATCCTGTGAGCCCCATTCCTGGCAGAGGATGCACTGGACTGTCAGCACAAGAGACATTCCTCACACACACAAGAGGCAGCCAGAGCCAAGGAATTCCTGGTGCATTCCTGTAAATCTGCACAGCTCAGCTCCAGCCGAGGCTGATGGATCGGAAGGGACTTGGAAGAGAAAAGCACACAGGGCTCAGTGTTGAGTGTGACAATTTAGGGCCCTTTGGTAAAAGGAAGTTCACATTTATTATTTCAAAGCTGTGGACACAATTCCCAAATCCCTCCAGCTGCTGCTCCACACCAGCACTGTGACTGACACAGAGGACCTGATTGTTTTCTTCACTCCTCAGAGTCCTGTCTAGGCCTTCCCACAGCACCTGTCACTGCCCAGGGAAACAAAGGCATCTCCAAAGTGTTCTTGGAATTTTCCTGCCTCAACTCCAGCCTGGGAGCAGCAGTGACTCTGGGGCCATTGCCACACGGGATATGTGGACCAGGCCCAGTGAACAGAACAGCTGTTTTTGGGTCCCTTCCAACTCAGAATATTCTGTGATTCTGTTCCTCTTAGGATTTATCAACAAAGTCATGGTTATTTCACCTGGAAGTTCTTGGCAGATCCCACTTCCAGTCCAGGATTGTTCTCTTTCCCATCCTTGATGAGCAAAATCAGTCTGCTGGATTCATCTTCCCATGATAAAGGAAATAAACATTCCAGCTCCCTGCTATGGCTCAGGTTTTATATATATTTTCTCTTCCTTCCCTTCCTTCATTGCAGCATAACGTGCCAGGACGAAGAGATAGTCACTGAGCCTGGAAACCAAAGGAAAAGCAGGAAAACCACTTCAAAGATCTTATACCAGAAGCTTCTCAGGAGGCAAAACCCTGCAGTTTTTTCCCAAAACTATGGGAACACCATAAGGAATGCTTCAGTAGGACAGAATAAGGGTTTGGGATTATATTTTTTTTTTACCTGTTTAAATATTTGGCCACGTTTGGATCTGCTTCCCCTGCTTGGACTAAAGGAACCACGCTGGAAAAAGCAAAGGAAAATGTCAGTGTTTAGCTTTCCAGCTCTGAGTGCACAAAGGGCTGTAATTTGCTGCAGCCCCTTCACTCCCCAACCTCCTCCAGGGTCCCCACTCTATCTGTGAAGGTTGTTGGCTTCCCCAGAGGAATCTGGGGGACATAAATGGTGCCAATAATGCTTGTGACTGTCCCGGAGGCTCCCAGCTCTGCTCCTCCAAGGATACTCATCCATGGCTATGACTGGACAGAGAGAGACTATTTACAAGGGCTACAGTGCCAGGACCAGGGGAAATGGCTTTCCACTGCCAGAGGGCAGGGATAGGTGGGATATTGGGAAGGCATTCTTCCCTGTGAGGGGGGTGAGGCCCTGGCACAGGCTGCCCAGAGAAGCTGTGGCTGCCCCATCCCTGGAAGTGTCCAAAGCCGGGTTGGATGGGGGTGCAGAATCCCAGAATGGTTTGGGTTGGAAGGGACTTTAAAGCCCATCCAGTTCCACCCCCTGCCATGGGCAAGGACATCCCCCACTAGACCAGGCTGTTCCAAGCCCTGCCCAACCTGGCCTCGAAAACTTCCAGGGACACCTTAAGCCACTCAGAGCTTCCCTGGATCTTACACCTGCCAGTGCCCCACCTTCCCACATTTATCAGACCAGACAGGAGCTGAGCACGGAACTGCAGCTCAACACAACCCTGTCTGTGCTGTCTCAGCTCAGATGACCCAGCTGAGGGGAGGGAAGACACAGTCTGGTTCTGTGCCGCCTGCACCCCTGGAATTGGATTAAACAAACAAAAGCTTGTCTCAAGCCCTGAGTGCAGCCCAGCCCTGGCTGGTGGCTCCCACTGCACTGGTTTGCTGCTGTTGTAGTGTCCCCATCCCCTTTTCCCAGTGTTGCCCCAGCACAGCACTCACCACCTCTCAGCCCGGCGGCACACGGCTCGGGAGAAATGGAGAGCAGCACTGCTCCTGCCTCCGGACTGGAACAGCAAGGAAACACCCCCTCAGTGTCTGCACCAACAGCACAGCCCCCCCCTCTGCTCCCTGGAGCACCTCTCACACACGTGGGACTGATCCCTGTGCCATGGCCAGGCGAGGGGAGGGACATCTGAGTGCAGCAAGATGGGGAAATTTAATTCCCAAATCCTCCCTGCTTTTATTTGGCATTTGTCAGTGGAAATATTGGCTTCCCAACCTGTTTTCCTGTGGTAAGTAGTGGAGCAGGGCTCCCCTAAGGAAGTGAGTGAGCCTCCTGCAGTGGATGAGAGGCACAGGCAGTACCTACGGGCAGGATGAAGGCTCTGAGGGGAGGGAGCTGCTCCGAGTAACTGTCAATCCACTGCTCCAGCTCCAGCACCGGCTTCTCGCTGAAAGACGTACGTTCTGCAGAGGGGAAAAGGAGAATCAGCTGGAAAAAAAAGTGATTCAGAAACGATTCAGTTGACACACAGAGATCTATTTTTGCTTTCCTTGGATCAGCAAATCCTAAGAAAGCATCCCAAAAAATTCCTCCTGCTTCAGCAGGGCCGGGTGGGTGCTGGGCCAGTGCCTCAGGCTGCCTGACATCACTTGAGTGCCACAAGCACAGCAGCAGCTGGGACTGTGTGTGATTTACTCAGCACCTAGGGATGTGTGTGATTCACAGAATCCCAGAATCATTTGGGTTGGAAAAGCCCTCCAAGATCATCGAGTCCAACCTGTGACCGATCCCCACCTTGTCCCCCAGCCCAGAGCACTGAGTGCCACATCCAGTCATTCCTTGGACACCTCCAGGGATGGGGACTCCACCACCTCTCTGGGCAGCCCCTTCCAATGCCTGACCACCCCTTCCATGAGGAAATTCCTCCTGATGTCCAATCTGAACGTCCCCTGGCACAGCTCGAGGCTGTTTCCTCTTGTCCTGTCCCTTGTTCCCTGGGAGCAGAGCCTGACCCGCCCTGGCTCCACCCTCCTATCAGGGATTTGTAAAGAGTGAGAAGGTCCCCCTTGAGCCTCCTTTTCTCCAGGATGAGCCCCCCCAGCTGCTCCTCCCTGTGCCTCACCCAACACTGCACAGCATCTAACCACTCACACAACCCCTTCCAGGCTGTGCCCAACTTTTGCCATCCCAGGAAAAGGCAGGACTTACTCCGGTGAGCCTCCCTGGCCGAGGAGAGCGGCGTGGCGAGGTTGGAGCCCACATCCTGCAGCATGCACTGGACCTGCACGTGGCACCAGGACAGAAACCACAAGTGCTGTCACTCCCCAACTTTGACATGCCAGGGGAGGTAGATCAAAGATCCCACCCTTGCTGTGCCTCATCCCCAGCCTGCTGCAGAGGGAGCAGGGAAGTGCTCCCCAAATGCTGCTTGAGAAGCCAGATTAGCACATGCACTCGTTTTCACTGGCACATCAAACCAGCCTGGCTGAGTGCAGGACACTGGGAGTGCTCACAGAACTCCTTGGCTGGCAGGACACCAAACCTCTGGGAAAGCAGGGACAAACTGCAAACAGCACTGCCATGTCCCCCTCCACACAGGGCATCTTCACAACCTGGGATATGGGAGAGACAGCCTGAAAAAGCTTCCTAAAATCTCTGATTAGCTCCTTCTGCATTCCTGTGCTCAGCAAAGTTAATTAGCCAAACTCACAGGCTGCCACCTATGTCACTGCTGTGCCCACGTGGGTCTGGGCCCCAATTTCAAACCCGAGGCTCTGTGACAACAAAACTTGTGCCCATAATGTGTATCTGACTTAACTCTGAATGAACCTAGAAATGAGTCTGCTGCCCATAAGTGATCACCTGATCTACCACTTTCCTTCTTGGTTAAGAAATTACCTCTTAGAGAGTAGTCTAAGTATTTATTTATTTAAAGACTAAATGCATTGGATTCCTGTGAGTTTATGTTTCAGTAGCACAGATGCAGCGACTGCACTGGGTGAGGATTACCATTAATACTCACTTTGTGAAGCTGTCCAACAAAGGTGTGGCCCTTTTCGCTGCTAAACTCACCAGCCAGCCTTGGTTAGAGAAAAAAAAAAAAAAAAAAAAAAAAAAAGAGTCAGCTGGGAATGGAGAAATCACCACAAACACGATTTTCCACATGAAACCCCCCCGAGTTCGGCCCCTCCCGGCCGGAGTTACCCGATGGCCGAGCTCAGCTCATCCGTGGCTCCCAAGGCCTCGAAGATCCTGTCGCCCTTCGGCCGCCGCTCCCCGGTGAAGGTGCTGGAGAATCCTTTGGGAAAGGCGAGGGGGGGGGCGCTCAGGGGTCTGGGGTGGCCCTGCCCCGGTGCCCCCTCGGTGCCCCCCGGGCTCTACCTGAGTCCCCCGTCCGGGTGTAGATCCGCGGGGACCGGGCGGGGGGGTCACGACCGGGGGGATCGCGGGCGGAGCTGCGGGGGCACAAACCGTGAGGGAGGGACACACCGTGGGGTGGGGGGACACAGAGAGGAGCGGGAGGACATTGGGGGAGACACTGGGGGTGGAGGGGGACACACACCATGGGGGGCGGCACCGGGGGGACACGCGGTGAGGGGAGGACACACACTGTGGGGGAGCCACGCCTTGAGAGGGAAACGACACCGTGACGGGGTTTCGGCCCTCCCTCTCACCTGCCCTCCCCGCTCTGCCCCCGCCGCCCCGCCGCCCCCAGCGGCTCCCGCAGACCCCGGCCCGCTATCGCCAGGGCCGCCCGCCGCCACATCCCTCCCGGCCGCCGTCCCCGCCGCCCCGTGACCCTGCGCGGCCGCCGTCCCGCCCCCCGGCAGCGCCCTCACCCCAGCACCGCGCCACCGCGCGCCGCCGCCTCCCCATTGGCCAGCGCCGAGTCCCGCCCCCGCAGAGCTCGCGGCTATTGGCTGGGCCGTGGTGGGCGGGGCTGTCACTGGTGGGCGGGGCTGTCACTGGTGGGCGGGGCTGTCAGTCGGCGTGGGCCGTAAGGTGGCGGCGATGTGGGAACGGGTTCTGGTGGTGTCGGCGCCGGGCAAGGTGATTGTGCACGGGGAGCACGCGGTGGTGCACGGCAAGGTGAGGGGGACGGGCAGGGTGAGGGGGCTGGGGGAGCTGAGGGGGCACGGCAGGGTGAGGGTGGGAGTAGGAGCGGGGGCTGGGGCTGGGGGAGGTGAAGGGGACCCGGACAAGAGGAGGGGAACCGGGCAGGGTGAGGGGTGCTGAGTTCTAGGCTGTGGTGCCGGGCAGGGTCAGGGGTGCCCGTCTCGGTGAGCGCTGCCCGACCCCCCATGACCTCCGCTCTCCCCCCGCAGGTGGCCCTGGCCGTGGCGCTGGACCTGCGGACGTTCCTCCGGCTGCGGCCCGGGGCCGAGGGCCGGCTTCGGGTCTGTCTGCCCGGGGTCGGCGTCCAGAGGAGCTGGGACACCGCCGTGCTGCGAGCCCTGCGGGGCCGGATCGCAGGCAAGGCTGGGGGGAAGCGCTGCCCGGGCGGGGTGAGAGGCCCTCGGTGCTGCTCGGTGGGACCCTCTGTGAGGTGACCCTGCTGGGACCCCCCTGTGGGATGATCGTGCAGGAACGCCCTTGGGGTGACTGTGGTGGGACCCCCCATGAGGTGGCCATGCAGATGCCCCATGGGATGACAGTGCTGGGACTCCTCCGTGGGGCAGGAACCCCCCGTGTGCTGACCGTGCTGGGACCCCTCACGGGGTTATTTGCAATGTTTCCCTCGCTGTCTCTGACCCTGCTTGGTGTGTGTGCTTTGCTGACCTGTCCCCACACCCTCCCTCCATGTGACTCCCCCCCCCCGGTGCTCAGGTGTCTGTGTGTGCCCCCTTCAGTGTCTGTCCCTTCCTGTTTCAGGCTCCCAGGGACCTGTTCCTGTGCTGTTGTAGCTCAGGCAGTGTTGGAACACAGGCAGGAGCCAGGCAGGGACTATGTCCAGGGGTGTGACAGATGGGGGGAAAAAGGAGCCTCTCTGGAGCTGGTCAGAGCTGGGCTCCTGAGGAAGGCAGGGATAAGGGGGCCCGTTTCCTGCCTCTCTGCCCCACACCAGCCTTCACTGGAATTTCTGCAACATCTTGTACTGGATAGAGCCCTAGAACATCCCAGTTCCAGAATCCACGTTCTTTAATGAAGAGTTTGTTACTTCCCTAGTTCTCCATAGTGATCATTGGGAAGTGTAGCCAAGGAGACGTTTGCAGGTGGAAACACTTGGATTTTGGAGTGGCTGGTGGAGAATTTGCTTTGATTTTTATCACCAACCCTGAGGTAGAACCTAAAATCAGCTCCACCTGTTTCTGCCTACTGTAACAGGAGGTGTTGTAAATATTGCTTTCAGTTGAACAATTCCCTGGTTTCTAAGTGTTTAAATTCTCCCCTGCTTGCTTCCATAGCTGACTTTGAGGAGTCTAAGTCCCCCAGCCTAGAGCAGCTGGATGCACTGAGGGAGTTTGCTGGAATTGCTGCTGAAGCCTCAGGTCCTGATAGCCTTGCTACCCTTGCCTTCTTGTACATGTGCCTGGCTATTTCAGCTAAGTATGGGTAAGGCTCTTCTCCTGCCCCAAAATAAACCTCTTGGGTGTTGTTCACCATTAGTTGCTGCTACGAAATCATGGGGAGAAAACAAATCCTCAGGGCAAAATAAGGAATTACAAGGAGTCTCACTGCATTTGGGCTCTGGGCCCTCAGGAGACTTGAGAGCTGAGATGGTGGGTGGGTGCCCTGGGCAGGTGGGTTGGAAATTGCCTGCTTTCATTTAGGCATCAAGGGGCTGAAATCAGAGCAGTTCATCCCACAGTCACAACACAGACATCTCTCCCTCCAGCTGGCAGCTCCTCCCAACTCAGGGCTGTTCCAGTTTCCAAATTTGCCCAGCACCATTGATGCTCTTGGTGTGACTGGGCAGGTGGTCAGTCTGATACAGCCCTGTTGGCTTTCAGAAACCAAGTCAGAGCCCAACTTCAGTATTCACATCAAAGAAACCAAGGGTTAAAGAGCTGGGAAGTGCAGCTGCATCGTGGCTGGCCCTGCAGTCTGGGAGTTGCTGACTGGTGGCATTGGGGCTGTCACAGCTCTGAGACCAGCAGTACAGAGTTCTGACACTCACCCACAGGGAAAAGTTCCAGGGGTTTTGGGGTCTGTAGCACAACCCAGGTGTGCTCAGTGGAGTAGAGGGACAGAGATGTGTTCATATTCCGTCTTCCCATCAGCCCATTGCTCCAGTGGGATGTAACTACAGATTTGGGGTATTTACGCTTTATTTAGAAATATGTTTAAAATCATGTTCACAGCGATCTTTGAAGGGGCTCTTTGTGATGCTGCTCAAGTATTTAGTTACCAAGTGTCCCTGCTATCAAGCTGACAAGCTGTGCCAGTCATGGATCCAGCTCAGCAAGGCTTTGTGTCAGGCTTAGCTAGGCCACTCCACTGGGCAATGAGCCCTCCTGAAGCCCCTGTGTGTCAGATGTGTGTGCTGATGTTGCCAGTTTTCAACCAGCTTTCCCTCCAGTCAGTCCCATTTGGCCTCTTTTGCCTCTGTACAGTGTTGTCTTAGGGTGGAATTCGGGGTGGTTGTGTCATTCCTGTGTGTCTGTGTTCCAGGGACGTTCCGAGTGTGGACATCCTGGTGTGGTCGGAGCTGCCCACGGGAGCAGGGCTGGGCTCCAGTGCTGCCTATGCCGTGTGCTTGGCTGCTGCCCTGCTCATGGTGTGTGGGGCCATCTCCTGCCCGCTGCAGGAGGGAGACTCCACAGCCAGGTAAGGAACTGGGGAAGCCTCCCTGCCTGGCATCCACAGCTCTGCTCCCTGTGCCCCATCTTTCCTTTTACCTCCAGGAATTCTGGCACTGCCACCTCTCCTGCTCTCTCTTGGCTGTGACCACAGCAGTGGCACCCTGAGCCCGTTTCCTGTCTCTCCCTAGTGTTCCCAACCCTGTCCCAGAGCCCTGACCTGAAATCACATTTATCATTCACTTCTCCTGACAGAAGCAGCTGGATGCAGAGATGTCATAAAACTCATCTCATTTCCCTTGTCTGGTGTCACATACACATAGTTAAACAGAGGAAAAAAAAACTTGATTTTTTTCCAAGCAAATAAAACACACACTTTAATGTGCTGAATATTTTTAACCTCAATTTCCTCTGTTGTCTCTGAGCATCTTCCAGGTTTTGCTTAGAGTCCTCCAGGATCCTTTCTGGGTTTTCTGTATTTCCCATGGATTTTTTTTTTTTCTGTGTGTGCTACGTTTCCTCCTGATCTCCTGCCTGTCTTTCCCCTTTATCAGTGGCTGGTGAAAGAGAGTTTCTTTCCTTCTGCCCTTGGAGCTCAGCCCTGGAGGCCTGGTGTGCTGTGCCCTGTGTGAGAGGAGGCTCTGTTTGAAGCTGTGTGCCACAGCTGGGGGGGGTGTCAGAACTTCCTTGTGCTCCCTGTGCCAGGTGCAGCCTTTTCTGGCTGTATTTGGTGTGGGATGAGAGTGAGACTGCAATGGGGGGGGTCTGACTGTGTTCTGCTTCTAAACCAGAATTTGCAGCTTGACCCAGAAACAGGTTCTTGGAGGGAGCAGTTTGTCCCCTGTGGTTGGGCAAATCTCCCACACTGAGAACTGAAAGGGCAGCTCCACTCGGAGCAGCCAGGATGTCTTCATTCATTCCCTTGGCTGCAGCGTGGATCCAGCATAATTCCTTCCTTGCAGCTGGCATGCAGAGGGGAGAGTGAGAGATGGGGGTGTCAGACTTCAGAGGGTTTTTGCTTAACATGGCAAGAAAAGAACAGCGTGATATAATGGCTCCTGTGTCGGGAGGAATCGCAGCCTCTCAAAGAGGATTAAAAACAAGTGGTTTACAGCAAACCTCGCTCCTGTCTGGGAGTTGTGGTGTTGGGAGCTGTTCTCTGAGTGCTCCACAGATTAAGTACTGGCAAGTGGGATGCAAGGTGTGTGGAGATGGATAAAGACGTTCAGCTGAAGCCCGGGGAAGCGGGAGTGAAGGGAAACAGCTTCCACACAGCAGGTGGCTCTTGGAACTTCTGCCTTGCCTTGCAAGACTCTGTGAGGCTTTTCCAAAATCTGTATTTGTGCTTGTGCTCCAGCATGGAATACCTGTTTTATTCTAAAGACCTGTTGAATGGACTGTAGAGCAGGCTTGTGTGCAAGGAGCGTCAAAGGTGTGTCTCTGTGCTCAAACTGAGAGTACGTTTAGATGGGATGTTGGGGAGAAATTCCTTCCTGTGAGGGTGATCAGGCCCTGGCACAGGTTGCCCAGAGAAGCTGTGGCTGCCCCATCCCTGCAAGTGTCTAAGGCCAGGCTGGACAGGGCTTGGAGCAACCTGGGCTGGTGGAAGGTGTCCCTGCCCATGGCAGGGGGTGGGATGAGATGAGCTTTAAGGTCCCTCCCAACCCAAACCATTCCATGATTTGGGTCCCCGTGTGAGGTAAACGTGTCCCTGCAGGGTGCAGGAGGCTCAGCTGGCTCCCTGTGGGTGTTGAGTTTCCTTTGAGGTGCCAGAATCCTTCAGTGTGGAGGGAACAAGTGGATTTGAGAGACTGGTGAGTTCTGAAGGGGATGTGTGGGAAGCCGTAGGGTTTTGGGAGGCAGTGGGGGAGAAATCTCTGAAGTCACAGCCAGCAATTGCTCTGTAAGTGGCAGCTCTGCCTTTGCTTTTTTCTGCTTCTGCAGCCCGTTAATTAGTGTGTTCAGTAAGGGGCCTTGATCCTTGTGAGTCTGACCCAGCACCAAAGTCTGTGCCAGCATTTAAACTCCCAAAGCATTCACCCGTTTGTGTGACTGCTTTTCAGACGACAGAAAACCTGCTTTTGCAATTTTTAGGATAACACCTTCTGGATGTGTGTCTGCTTCCCTTCTGTGCTCCCTGGGCCAGCACTTGGCGCAGCTTCAAGTGTTTGGAGTTAATCCCTAAAAATCAAAGTATTTGCTGGAGATGGTGGAGTTAGAACTGATACACTCCAATTTTGGGAGGCTGTGCAGCTGAGCAGCTGGTGAGCAGGGGCTGAAGTTGCACATCTGAAATGCAGCTTTTACCATTCTGTTCTTACCCTCTGCTCCTGTAAGTGCACTGTCCTGCCTGTTGATGAGCAGGATCTCACACCAAGATCAGAGAATCATGGGATGGTTTGGGTGGGAAGAGACCTCAAAGATCATCTCATCCCACTCCCCTGCCATGGGCAGGGACACCTTCCACTGTCCCAGGTTGCTCCAAGCCCTGTCCATCCTGGCCTTGGACACTTCCAGGGATGGGGTAGCCACAGCTTCTCTGGGCAACCTGTGGAGAGGGCACCCTCACAGGGAAGGATTCCTTTGCAGTATCTCATCTAACCCTGCCCTCTGGCAGTGGGAAGCCATTCTCCTTGTCCTGTCACTCCTGAACCTTGTATATGGTCTCTCTGCATGTTTCTTCTAGCCACTTCAGGTCCTGGAAGGCCACAATTATTAGTTTCTCTTTTCCAGGCTGAACAATCCCAACTCCCTCAGCCTTTCCAATGTGTTTGGTGAGGTGGGGATGGGTTTGGACTTGCATCCTGTTAAATTTGATCTCCCTGAATCTGCTCCCTCCCTCACGCTGGCCTGGGGTAATTGTGTGTTGGGGTCATTTTCTTGCCTTCCAGGTGGACAGAAGAAGAGCTGACGTTGATTAACAGCTGGGCCTTCCAAGGGGAGCGGGTGATCCATGGCAATCCATCGGGTGTGGATAATGCTGTTGGTACCTGGGGTAGGTGTGTTTGCTGCTCCCCACGGAAACTCCCAAATCCAGAGCCCTGTTTTGTTCAGAGCAGAGGGAATCCTTCAGTTTACCCCATCTGTGAGCTGGGACTGGAGCCAGCTGGGATGTTGGGGACTGGCTGCAGGAACACCAGGGCTCTGTGTCCCCCAGGCAGGTGCCGTGGGGCAGAGACCCCACCACAAATAACTGATATTTTAAATGTTCTGGCAGGAACAAAGAAGCCTAATCCCGTCCCAGGGATAATGCTGGAGAAAATGCAGTTGGACAGCTGTCATTTAGTTTCAATTAGCAGAGACTTCCCAGTGTTTTGAAAGTGTCCTTGGAGACTGTTAATAATCTTTCTAATGAGACCTAATCGCAGTGCCTCTGTGAGGGTAGGAGCCAAGTGAGACATTCCTTCTGGACAATGAAATTCCTTGCTGAAGGATGGCTGCTCACCCATTCAGTCCATGGAAGTCCTTGTGCTTGGCTCTGCCCCAGGGAAGCGCTGCTGGATTCTGTTTTTTTTCAGGGAAGATTTACTGCTGGCCAAACTCTTTACCTTTTAAAAAATTATTTGATGTGATCCCAGAGTAGAGGAGAGCAAAGGGAAGGGCCCTGGGTTAACTACATTCGACCAGACCCTCTCATTAAGGCAGCAGGGTGAGGCACATTCGTGCTGCTGGAGAACATGGTTCATTTAGCTGGTGTTTCTTGCAATTACTGTCACAGGCTCTGGGTGAGGTTCTGAGGATGAAAGAGCTCCTGTGTTATCTCTGCACTCGCCCTGTGCTGAGACAATACATGTATTTTACTTTAGGTGGAGCCCTGAGATACCAAGCAGGAAAAATCACACCATTAAAGAGGTAATATTGGAGTTTAAAAATAACCCTCACACACGGTGGGTGGAACATGTCAGGGAGGCTCTGGGTGGGTGTTGTGGGTATAAGGATGATGGGAGGTGGCTGGAGCGTGGGAAGGGCTTTGCAGCCACATTTGGGGGGTGGGCAGCCTGAGTGTTGCCTTGGTTTGGGGTGGATGGGGGGGACAATGAAACGTTTGGTCATTATCTGACATTAGATGAACACAGCACAGAGGATCAATATTAATTTCATGGCATTATGGGCAGCAGGAATGGATCTGCTCCTGGCAGCAAATGACATTGTGGGGAGGGGAAACTTTGTGCTTACCTGGTGGGGGGAAAACCCACTGGCAGAGAGAAATCTGGGTCCTGCGTGTTCCCTCTGCCTCCTGCCAGCCAAGGATAATCTGACTCCATTAAAATCTTTCACAGTGCATGAAATTGCTCTATTAGCAGTTAATGGCCACTGCTGGCTACCCTCATGGAGAGGATTTCAAAGGAAAAATTTTGCTTGAAAACCATGGATTTCAGTAAATACATTACAGTCCTATTTATAGTACTAGTACAGTTGTTCCTTGTATCCAAGAGGAAAAAGCCTGAACCCAGCACTGAAGCACCTGCTTAAGTTTTGTAAAACTAATGGGTCTCCTTATCTTGGGTGTCTGAAAGAGGCCCTTTGAGGCAGAATGAGCTTTAGGGACTGTGAAGGAAAGAGGCCAGGAGATGTTCTCTGCCCATGGCAGGGGCTTGGAATGAGATGGGTTTTAAGGTCCCTTCCAACCCAAACCACTCTGGGATTCTCTGTCTCCTGTTGCTTTCAGGGTGCCCATGCTGAGGATCTTGCTGACCAACACAAAAGTCCCTCGAAGCACCAAGGTCCTGGTGGCTGGGGTCAAGGAGAAGATCCTGAAGGTGCAGCACCTGCGTGGTTGTGGGCATGGAGATAACCCTCATGTGGGACTGTAGCTCCCACAGTGATCGTTTGGGAGATTCATCCTGTGGTCACTGCATTCCTAACTGCTGCCTAAGACCCAGCTGCCTGGGAATGGGGGTTCAGCTCATCTCCTCCTTTTCTCCAGCATTAACAGGGCTTGCCACAAAAATCACCAGTTTGAGAAAGAACAGTTCGTTCCTCTGGCCTTCCCCTCTCTTCCTCCATTTTCTGCAGGCAGGAGCAGCACTGCCTTGCAGTGGGGTGCTCTGTGAATGAGTAGCCCCAAATGGGGTGAGGAATTGCCCAGCTCAGAGAGACTGAGACTGGTTTCATCCCAGTGCTTTGGAAGGCCAGTGTCTCACCTCTTCCTTCCCCCCCTTCTCAGTTCCCTGCAATAATGAACCCGGTGCTGGACTCCATCGATGCCATTTCTCAGGAGTGCCAAAGTGTTCTGGAAGAGATGCCTGCAAATCCATCACCAGAGTATTACCCTGTGCTGGAGGTAAGGGGCTTGTTCACCAGTATTTTTAGACACTGCTGCTGTTGAACATCAAAATGTCATTTAAAGAACATTAGGTCTGAGAAAAAAAATGTGATGGCAGGAAATGTTCAGTTCCGAGCGAAGCCGTGGTCTGTGTGTGCTGCCTTTAATGCCCTTCCTGGAGCCAGGAAACACAAAATGCTGCTGCTGCCTCTCCACAGCTATGGGTGGGAATGGGGGTAGTGACCCTGGGGCTCTGTGGACCTGTGGCTCTGGAGGGTTGGTTTCCCTTCCCTAAGAATTGTGATGTCTGTGCCATGGGCCAGCCGTGCTCGTTCTGGCAGTCACTGTGAAGCAACTGCTCTGTCACTGCCAGGGCTGGAGTGAGGAGCAGGAGCCCAGAGCCACTGGTTTGTGATGGGCTGGTTCTGAGCCAGCTCCCAGTGCCCTGCGCTCGTCCTGGCTCCGGAGAACGACAGACAGAGCTGTGCCCAGAGCTGACCTGACAGTGATGCACGAGGTGCACACAAAGATCTGTTTGTCTTGGCTTTGCTCACAGAGAAGAGGCTGCTGGGGGGGAGGAACACGCTTCCAAGTGGAAGAAGTGCTGAGAGTGCTGTAATGCTGATCCCCAGCACCCGGGGGAGGGATGTGTGTCCCAGCTGAGCCAAACCTGGCCTGGCCGTGGGAACCAACCTGGACAGTCAGGAGCCACTTGGTACCAGCAAGGCAGATCTTTGTTGGCATCTGGATCTCTTCTGTGAGGACTCTGCTCGTCCTTGCTCTTGCTGGTGGGTTGTTCCCTCCGCAGCTGTGAGGGGTCTCCTGTGGGATTCGTGGCAAAGTCCTGCTCCCTTTGCACTAAGAGAGTGGTGGGATCCTGTACCCATCAGGGTGGACTGAACTGGCATCAGCTGGGGGAGGTCTGGAGTCTGTTCACAGCACAGCTTCACACCGCTCTTCTCCTTAATTCCATGTCCTCAGGCTGGTGCAAGTATTGGGGCACAGGGAAGAGGGGGAATAATTTGAGTTGTGCTCTGAGATCCTCACATGGAAGATGCCAAAGCATTCTTGTGTCCCACACCCAGGAAGCAGCTCTGCAGTGAGCAGGTTCCTGTCTTGAATCTGTTGTTTTGTCTTGTGCTTGAAGAGCCCTCAGAGGCCCAGCTGATTATATGCAGCATATATATAAAAATATATATTTTTGGCTGTTTCTGAAATGTACTGTTCTGGCCAGTGCTGTATTAGAGCCATCGAACTAGTCTAGTGTGTCATAAGCTGTCATCTGATTCCTGGCAGATTTTGGATCAGGAGATGACAGGTGTCTTGGATCATCACAGACAGTGCTGTGCCCTCACTCAGGCATGTAAAGAGGCCTCTGGATGGACGTGTGTCCAGCCCAGCCGAGAAGGGTGATGGTTGTGCTCTGTGTGCTGCTGGCTCCTTCCTCTCCCTGCTGTTCTTTAAAAAGGACAGAAATGCTCTGGAAGGGGAAGAGGGATTATTCCTGCACTGTCCCCTCCTTGTAGTGTTGGCAGGAGACCTGTGTGGAGCAGAGAGAGGGTGATGTGCCCCTGTGTTCCCTGTGCATCCCTCCTGGCTCACTGTGAGCCGCAGACAGGTAAGAGCTTTGGCCACTGGCTGGAGGAGGGAACACAGGGCTGCTGTTAGGGAGCCTTTCTGGGACTGGTCCTGTGTCCCCTGCCTTGTGACAGCCTCTGGGAGCAGCCACCACGTGCTTTGGAGGTGGTGGAGTTGGGGTGTCAGTGGTGTTGCTGAGAACAACCTTCCTCTGCTGCTGGTGCTGATGAGCTATGATGGCCCTGTGGTACCTGGGGTCCAGTGTCAGCTCCTGGCCCTGCTCCAGACTTACTCTGAGCACAGGCCAAGCCCTTCCCTCTGTTCCTGAATCCATCACCTGTTGTACTGGGAGGAGAGAAGCTGTAACTCCCAGCTCTGTGGTGTTTTCCATCCCTTGGGGCTGCTGGGGCAGCTCTCTGGAGCAGCAGGTCTGTGCCTGACTGGGGCAGCAGGCAGGGCTGCACTCACAGCGCTGCCAGGAGGGTGGGGGTGCATTCACAGAGTGGCCTGTGCTGCTCCTGAGAGAAGGACTCTGTCGACCCCACTCGAGCTGGGTGCCAGATTCCCAGTGTGGAGCTGCCAAGAGGCCCCTTGGCTCCTGGCCCAGGCCCTACCCATGAGGAGGAGAAGTGCTGCCCAAAGCAAACAAGGGGAGGTACCTTCATGTGGCCTCTGCAGTGGTGCCTCAGTCATGTCAGAAGTCCCTGGATTTAGCTCTGCTGGGTGGATGGCAGGGCAGGGCAGGGGGACAGCCAGGAATGAGAGATGCTGGCTCAGTGCCCTTCCCGCGGCCTTGCACAGCCTCCTGCTCAACACTCGTGTGACAGGGAGAGGAAAGGAGTCAGGAGGCATCACAGAGCTCTGCAATAAATGTCTGCTGGCAGCTTGCAGTGATCAGGGTTTTCTCAGGAGGTTCAGGAGCTGTTGTACCCTTGTCACTCTACAATGTGTGAGGGGGACAGGGACAGATGAGCAGCCCAAGGCTCAGACTCTGTCCTAACCTTGTTGCCTGGTGCTGGTGGGTAAATTTCTGGCAGAAACGGGATGGTTGGAAGGTAGGGCAGCTCCCCTGCACCTCTCTACCTCTTCTGTAAAGACCCTCTGTCTCCACATGTGCTCACCTCGTCTCTGTGTGGTTGCTTTCAGGAATTCTTTGACATAAACCAACACCACTTGAACGTGCTGGGGGTTGGCCACCCGTCCCTGGACAGGCTGTGCCAGGTGACAGCGTCCCACGGGCTGCACAGCAAACTGACCGGGGCTGGCGGGGGCGGCTGTGCCATCACCCTGCTGCCACCAGGTCAGTGACTGCCACCCTGGGCATCCTCCCCCGTTCCCCACGGCCCTGGGGGGCTCAGCTTTGGGGGCAGAGGGATCACTGCCAGCCCTGGTGTGGCTGTGGCAGGATGGGGTGGGATGTCTTGGTACGGGGTGGGGGGTTGCAGTGTGTCATCTAGGGGCGGTTCAGGGCATTCATTTATGTGTGTCAGGCCCTGAGGGCACTGGCCCCGTGCCAGGGGCCATGTGTTTAAAGGTGCCATGGCCTGTTTTGCTCTCCCTGCGGTGGCCCAGCTGACTCACTGGCTGCTCTTGCCTTCCTCTTGGCAGACACCTCCCCGCTGGCCGTGGAAGCAGCCAAGCAAGACTTGTGTGCCTGTGGATTTGAATGCTGGGAGACCAAGATCGGGGCCCCCGGGGTGACCCTGCACTCCCTCTCCTCTCTGAACACCCAAGTGCTGCACATGCTCTCCCAGAGTTAAGCTGCTGCCTCTGGCAAGAAGAGCCCTTGGCACCAAAGCTCAGAGCTTTGTGTGCCTGGATGCCTGGAAACTTCTTCCCCACTCTCCTGTGTCACTGAGGGCCTCTACACATGCATGTGGAGCCGGTTTTCAGCCTGCTGTCACTGGGACTGGGGGCTGCCATGGGGACCCAGGAGCACCTGCCTGCTCTTGGATGAGGTGTGGGTTTGACCCAGGCTCTCAAAATCCTGGTTTGAATTTACTTTCTCAACTGCTCTGCTAATCCCAAGGGGCAGGAGGAGAGGGGCTTGGCTGGATTCCAGCAGGATAATGACGCTTTGCTGCTTCAGATGCATGTGGTGTCTCCTTCCTCCCTGGTGTCCCGTGGAGGGGGCTGGCAAGGTGGATGTGCTTTGACATTTTTGGGTGACGAGCATCTTGGCAGCTGAGGGTTGACGCTCATATCTCTGTTTCTTCTGGACTCCACAGTAGAGAGGAAACCTTTAATATGGCTCTTACTGCTACTAATTAAGAGTTGGGTAATTAAAATGCAAGATAGAGCACAATTCCAGTGAAATTATCAGTTTTCACTCTTTTCCATAATCTCTGCCTGGGCTGATAAGCAGAGTGCTGTAGTCGGGCTCTGCTTTTATTCACAGACTCAAGGTCTGGCTCAAACAGCACCTGTCACCTGCAAAGAGGGCAACTCCAGGCAAGGGCAGGCTTAAAATTTCTGCTTTTAATAACTGTTCTCTCACGCTTCAGTCATAAACCAGCACGTCCCTGACCCTGCCTGGTGTTGGGTTTACTTTGATGTAATTAAGTAGGGGAAAGAAACCCAAACCATGTCCTCAAAAGCTCACCATAAGTTGCAGTTGGCAAACTCTAAAACCTAAATGCATTTAGACTTATTACACAAATGTAAATGGATTTTTTTACTCCTGAAATTTTAATGAGTTGTGCCACGGAACAGAAGGGAATTGGCAGGGAAGTGGCTGAAGCCGGAGTCTCTGGGAGCCATGAGCTGACTCTGAGTGACTGTGGTCTCTGCTGTACCTGCCAAAGGGGTTTTATCGTTGTTCTCTTTGTCTGGGGTGGGTTTTTTAAGTGGGTTTTTAAGTGCATCTCTGCTCAAGAATTGCTTCATTTAAAACTGAGTAATGAATTGACAGAGGTGTGGAACTTGCCTTCCCCTTCCAGCCCAGGAGTAACAAAAGCAACTGTGAGAACCTGAGATGTTCTGGCTCTAAGCTCCCAGCATCATGGTGACCAGCTTTAATTCCCCGATCACATGTAAAACTGTCTCTGGTTTTAATAAATTGATGGGTTTTTTATGTGCAAAGTGTTCTTTGATAATTATTCTGGGTACAAAAGGAAAACAGTACCTTACACTGCTTCAGGAGAGCAGGTCTCAGATGCTGGCTTTCTACATGTCTAATTACAATTCCAATTTGCATCCAAGAACGGCTTTACACTAATCACAAGTCAGAAAGGCTGATAAATAATTTACTATTTTCTAATACAGTGTAATCAATGTGAGTATCTGGGAGCGTGTTGACTTTAACCACTTACATGTGTCTGTACTTTGTGAGGGTTGGCACAAAGAAATGCCAAATCCAGCACGGGGAAAACTCGGGGAAAACTCGCTTCTAAACGGCACGTCAGGGGCTGAGCCTCATTAACTGCCTTCCCTGGAGCGAGGGCTGGGGGAGAGAATGGAGAGGGAACTCACAGAATCCCAGGATCACTGAGCTTGGAAAAGACCTCCAAGATCATCAAGTCCAGCCCTTGACTGGCCCCCTCCTTGTCACCAGACCAGAGCACTGAGTGCCATGTCCAATCGTTCCTTGTACACCTCCAGGGGTGGGGACTCCACCGCCTCCCTGGGCAGCTGCTTCCAAAGCCTGACCACCCTTTCCATGAGGGAATTCTTCCTGATGTCCAGCCTGAATCAGCCGCCTCTGCAGGTTTCCTCCAGGTTTGCTCATCTCACTCTGCTCCCTGCTGCAGTGGAAGTGGGGGATGTTCCCAGGCCAAGGAGGGGTGTGGCACTGTGGGGAGTAGGAGGGTGCCCTGGGCTGGGGTCTGTGGGACTCTGCTGTGGGAAAGGCCCTGAGCCAGGGTGGCACTGCCAGCAGGACCCTGCCCACACCGACACTGGGGCTCTGCCTTCCCTGTGCCACAGGGACCAGAACTGCTGAAATCAGCACCTGGAGCCAGTCCCCGTCTGTTGGAAGTAAGCACAGATTTCACATCCATCTGTGAGCACGGGAGTGCCCGTTCCCTCCTTTCCAAATTCCTCCTTTGCCAGCTCCATCAGAGTCTTCACAGGGGCCTCATACACCCACTGGGATAACCCAGGGATGTCTGGAATGTATCCCAACTTCTACAAGGGAATCACCCCTTCATTTGCAACAACTTGCAATCACCTCCTGTGATTCCTTGAGATCTGGGGTTCAGGGCCCCCGTTCCTGCCCCTCATCAGCCATGGGCAGCAGGAGCAGCTGCTCCCATGGGAATGATGCCTCACAGGGACACAGGGGATGCAGCAGGAGGCACAACCGCCTCTCTCCTGCACTTTGCTGCCTTGGGAGCAGAACTGGAGCCCAGCCTAAGCCCCGTGGAGCATGTTCTCCCCACGGATCATCCCTCCTCTCCCAGCCACCCCACAGCCGTGCGCTCCGGCCGCTCCCACGTTACGGATGTGCAGTGGAGCAGTGATTGCTGCTGAAGGATTAGCCTGGTAATTTGGCTAATTTTTCTCAAGCTTCATTTTTCACATTATGAGCTTTGCAGAAAGACTAACGAGCCTGGGTTTGCCTCTAATAGCCAGCGCAGGAACGGGGAGGGGAAGATGTGCTCCATCCTAAAGGATGGATTGAGGAATTGGGAGCACACTGGCCATCCTGGACAGGCTGCTGAGGGCAAGTGTGGGGGCCCCTTGAGAGCTGGGGGTTCACTGGTGTTTCTTGGCACCAAAAGGAAAACACTTTGTGTAAAAATACCTTCCTTTTCCTTCGCAGCCAGCGCACGGGGCAGCCTCGCCCTTGGAGTGTCTCCCACCACCCCAGAGGGCTCCTGTGCCCCCCAGCACATGTCCCCCTGACCCAGGACCCCACTGCTCCCTGCCTGGCCCCTGCCAGGCACAGATGGTATTATTATTGTTTGTTTTCACTCCGTGTCAGCAGTGGCTTCTTTCTGCTCCGGTGAATAGATGCTGAGGAGGCAGTGACATTATTGGAGAGCACGGAGAGAGCAGAAACAGGGTCAGGGAGAGAGAGGAAATGTCAGCGCGCAGCCACGGAGGGGTGGGGGGCTGCTGGGGACCCTCAGGGCTCCCTGACACTCCCAGGGTCCCTGCTGGGATCAGGGTGGGGGAGTGGGACCAGGGGACCCCCGGAAGGCTAGAAGGGCTCAGCGCTGTGTCCTGGGCTCTGCATAGGGAGCCTGGAGGGCTTGGGGTGTCTGGGGGGTCCCCCTGGGGCTGGGGGTGCCCCCAGGACAAGTCGAGACTCCCATCAGAGTCATTTCAAGGGCAGTTTGTAGATCTTCATCTCCCGCTGCAGACGGGCTCCCTGTCCCCTCTGCCACCTGTCCCTGGGGATTTCGGGGCTCACCCATTCCCGGGGCTCAGCACCAACACACAGGGGCCTGGGGGAGCCCGTCCCCCCCGTCTCCCCCCCCGCCCTCCCCTCCCTGCACGCTGAAGGTTTTGAAAGTTAAGTATTACCGTCTGCTTTGTTGTTGCCTAACTACGACAGACAAATTGAGAACTAGTTGTCAAAATGTCAGTGCACAACAAATCAACATTCAAAATGAGTCTCAGCGCTATGTGGTGTATAATTAAAAAAAAATCCTTTTTAGAAATTTCAGCAAGCGTTGGCTCTGCTTTATATTTGTCTGTGTGATTAATAAAGGCAGCTAATTTTCAGACTTTAAAAACAGCTAGAAAATAGCTCCTAATTACATATTAGGTTCCAAGCGGCCCCCGCTGAGCGAGCCTGGTATTGGTGGGCCAGAGAATTTGGCAGGGGCTTAATTACATTCTGAGCATCATCTAATTTTAGTTAAATGTAATGTAATCAGCAGCAGATGTCTGAAATAAAATATGAATTATGAATATGATGAAATTTCATTCTTGAATAAAAAAGTAATTTGCTATTTAGTTCATTAAAGTCGCAGAGGTTTATTAGGGAGCAGGTACATGGTGCGGCTGGTTCTATTAAAATGATATTTCAGAGGGAGCAGGAAATTGCATTAAAGGTGCTAAAATATTCCACCAGGACGATGCACCGTATGGGAATTAATGTTTACAAAAATGATGGAGCCCCTGTGCTGGCACCGGCTCCGGGGTTCCCATTAATGCAAGTGATGTTCCCACATCCCGAGGGGACCCTGGACGGTCCCTGGACCCGCTCCATGTGTCCTGGGACACAACTGGACTCTTCACGCTGTTGGGCTCCAGAGTTTCCCCCATTATTTCACAGAATTCCAGGATCATTTAGGTTGGAAAAGACCTCCAAGACCATCAAGTCCAACTTGTATCTTATCCCCACCTTGTCAACCAGACCAGCGCACTGAGTGCCATGTCCAGTCGTTCCTTGGACACCTCCAGGGGTGGGGACTCTACCACCTTCCTGGGCAGCCCCTTCCAATGTTTAACAATCTTTTCCATGAAGAAAGTCCTCCTGATGTCCAACCTGAACCTCCCCTGGCACAGCTTGAGGCCATGGGGACAAGAGGCTCCAGCATGAGGGCACGGGGCCATCGATCTGGGCTCCATGTGCCTTATTCCAGTTTGACCAGGACAGCAAAGCACCAGTTCTCCCATCGGCTCTGGCACCACGGCGGATCCTCACAGGACACCATTGCCTGGACATCTCTCCCCGCAGCATCCTCTGCAGCTTCATCTCTGAAGTTTAAATTGCTTTTCTCTATCCCTCAGTGGCCCACGCTGACAGATAAGCATCTCCCGGAGAGGGAGAAGGACGGCGTGTTCATTATTTCCTTGTATTACAGATGCTGTCATTTTAATCCCTCCTGGATGCCGGGAGAAAGGCTGCGCCTGGGCTCCGGCTCAGAGCTCTGCCTGCCTCCAATGTGCTCTCCAAGAAAACCCCGTGGCTGGTTCGTCCTGCACGGCAGGAAATCCCAGGGCACATCCCAGCTGCCTGGTCCTGGTGGCTCTGATGTGCCTGGCACGGGTGATGCTCGTGGTGAGCATCGGTGCCAGCGTTGTGGCACAGCTGGGCTGCCACGCTCGCCGGCGTGGGCTCGCCGTCCTCCCTCTTCTATTCATCAAGGGCATGACAGCTAAAATTCATTTGAAGATGAAGAAAGTGCCGGCTAATCCTTTCTGGGAGACAGTGATAGACTGGCGGCTCGGGAAGAATTGCACAGCAGTAATGAAATTAGGCTAAAACTGCTGGCGGATAGCAGATAATTGCCCTTGTCTGTCACGAGGAATAACATCTCCCAAATCCAACACAATGATTGTTAAAGTTGCAGGAATTTATTTTATTTATTTTACGGGCTCGGGGTTGGCTTTCCAAAGGTCTTTCCCAGGAAAATAAAGGAGTGGGAGTTGTGTGGTTGCCTCCCACCTTCTGCGGGTGCTTCCGCCGACTCAACTGCAGCAGCTCGTCCGCCCTGCTGGAGCAGCACACGCACGATGACAAGGACACCCCAATGTGGGACCCCACTGGGGCTGTTCCCGGGAGCAGGAGAGGAACCAGCCAGCACCATGTGCTGCTTGGAGGAGCCGGTGGCAGTGCCGCTGCTGGTCCGTCCCCAGCTCCCACTGACCTTCTGGTGCTTGCCAGGGGAAATCCATCCCCCAACACCAAGTCCTGCCTGCGTGGTGCCGGGGTGGGAGCTGGTGTTGGAGTGGCCACACAAGCCCCAGCACCTGGTCTGTGCTGACCACCAGCCGTTTGTTCTGTAATGGATGGGGGCGGTGGAGGCCCCACGCGGGTGAGTGACTGCGCTGGCCGGCGCCGGCGATGTTTTATACGGCAGGGCTGGCACGGGTAATTTACAGCGCCCGGCAATAACATATTTCACTTCCCGTCTCCCAGATGAAGATTACTTGTGTTTGAAAGTGCCTGAACACACACTCAATTCTGCTTAAACGCTCACAGGCAGCCGAGCGTGGATCGTCCCGGCGGCTCGGCCGGCTCAGCCCTGCACCGGGGTGGCACGGGAATGAGGGTGGGAATGGGGACAGGGATGGGGACAGGCTGGATCACAGCCCCTGCTCCCTCTGGAGCTGCTCACAGTGCTGGAAAACCCACCCACAGCACCCGACGCAGCGTCTGGAAATATTCAATCCACCTTCCCTGA